CGTTTCATCCCAGCATGGGACTCATCAGTGGCAGTGCGCATCCACTACTCCTGCACCTCGCCGTCATTTGAACCCAGGACCTTCAGTCTTGCGTGTGAACGCCTAACCATCGGAACACTGAGCCGGTATCTAACGGTGTTAATGTCTGATGTCTATCAATTAATGGAGTTGCACAAACTCATACACTCTGTCTTCGGTAGTTACTGTCTACACCCGAACAGGTTGAACTTCACTGGTCACGAATTCCCATTAGAACTCGGAGAACATTCCTCACAAAGTTAGTCAATAGTGAGCTGAGGTAATTGTACTACGAGGTTATGAAGATTGTTAAAAGTTACACATTTTTGAAACCATGAATCGATCAATGTTATGGAATGACTAAGTTAGACATTAACACCGTTAGATGTCGGTTCAGTGGTCCAGAAGTTGGGCGTTCACACGCAAGACTGAAGGTCCTGTGTTCGAATGACTGCGAGGTGCAGGAGTTGTGGATACGCACTGCTTATGAGTCCCATACCAGGGCGAAACGGCCGTCTTTCAGTGCTTTCAGGTTTCTAATTGTGGTCCAACATTGATCGATTCATGGTTTCAAATGAATAAGAAGATCATAATTATTCTATGAGATTCCAATGAATATAAAGTTGTATTTCTGACATTTCATCGCCTACGTTAGTTAAGTTATTTAGAATAAAATTATTGTACTTTAATTTTGACGAAAATCAAATCAAAAATTAATATATAAACTTAAAAAATATAAACAGATTTATTAATATATAGTCCAGCAATCTCAAGAGAAAGATTTATTATTAAATATTAAGCTACTTAAATACCTAATAGGTAGTATGTACGAGTAATTCCAAATAAAATAAATTTATGTGGTGTACGGAATAGCAGAAAATGGATAAGAGCACTGAAAGACGGCCGTTTCGTCCCAGTGTATGGGACTACTCATCAGTGGCAGTGCGCATCCACGACTCCTGCGCCTCACAGTCATTCGAACACTAGCCGGCATCCTACGGTGTTAATGTGTGACTCTGATTGATCAAAGGATTTTTCGCGACCTCACTCATTTGTCTATGATAGTTACTGCCTAAATCCGACAGGGTTGAACTCCATTGTGTGTAGTTGTTATAAAATACCTCTATAAATTTATATTATTCTCCATAAGAAGTGTAGGTCTTGACTTTATATTCATTTGAGTTCAGTTGATTAGGGTTTATGGTGATAGTAAGATAGTAAGTTTACAGACAGATAAGTGACATTTAAATTATATTTGAAATTGTTTCCAAATGAATCCACATATAGATATTCACTTGTGTATGGAAGACTGAACCGAATATTTAGTATCGGTACATGAACTATTCAACTCCAAAGCCCGGGTAAAGGAGGAAGGTTGGACATGGGGTTGGCGACCCCATTCCGTCAAAAACTAACTTGCCAAAAAAACGTTAACCAGAAAAAATAATTCAAAGCATTTTAACTCTGCCCTAGGAGTTGGAGGAAGAATTATGACGTCGCGTGATAAAAGCTGAGTTCCCTCGGAAGTCATGAGGCTGATGCCTCTTCTGACAACCAGAGCAACCATTCTTTTAGGTACATGGAACGTTCGTACATTGTGGGAGACTGGAAGACTATTTCAAGTTGCGGCAGAAATGAAAAGATACAACCTCGAGGTGCTCGGCATCAGTGAAACGCATTAGACACAGGTAGGACAACTGAGACTAGCTTCAGGGAAACTGCTGTTATACTCTGGTCATGAAGAGTGAAACGCTCCACATACACAAGGAGTTGCACTGATGCTGTCCAAACATGCACAAAACGCACTGATAGGATGGGAATCTCATGGACCCAGGATCATCAAAGCATCCTTAAAAACAAAGAAAGCGGACATTACAATGAACGTCATCCAATGTTATGCACCTACCAACGACTACAATGACGACGTTAAAGATCAATTCTACGAAAGACTGCAGTCAATCGTCGAGAAAAGTTCACCAAAGGATTTGACGATTCTTTTGGGAGACCTGAATGACAAGGTTGGCATGGACAACACTGGATATGAAGACATCGTGGGACGACATGGACTGGGAGAAAGGAACGAAAACGGTGAGAGATTTGCAAACCTATGTGCCTTCAACAAACTGGTCATCGGCGGCACAATACTCCCGCACAAACGCATACACAAAGTCACATGGACTTCACCGGATCACACTACTCAAAACCAGATTGATCATATCTGTATCAACAAAACGTTCAGAAGGACTATGTAGGATGTGAGAACCAGGAGAGGAGCTGATATAGCCTCAGATCACCATTTGCTGATTGCCAAAACGAGACTGAAACTAAAGAAGCACTGGACAACGGGACAGACAACATCACACAAGTTTAATACGGCCTTTCTTCGGGATACTGTAAAGCTCAACAAATTCAGGCGTAAGTAAGTAAGTACAGTAAGTACATGAACTATTCAAACAACACAATTACAACTGTGTATCAAGGAAGTCATAAATAGTGAATATTATCATCGATCGTGCAATTGATATAATGAGCCAATCAGAAGTGGCTAAAAGGAAAAGCTGACCAACAGACATGCACTACTACACAAGATGAATGCAAAATAACGATTTGAATTTGCAACGGGATGGAATATAACTATGTACGCCAACTCCTTAGGAAATGAGTCAATTTCCTTACTGCTGTTACTTTCTCAATCATGTAGAAAATTTGATCAGGTAGCGTGATTATCTCGTTCATGCATCTTCGACACAGAATAACACAAGAAATAACAAAAAATTTTGTTCTAACTGTTAAGATATTTATCCAATAGTCTAAGAGAATTATTTGTAAGTGTCTAATTCCATTAAGTCACTTCCTATTGGTTAATTCTTACTGGTCAATATTATTATGGTCGTCCTAACTATCAATTTCATGTACATCAATGTTGTTTCTGTTATGCCTGCATGTCAACTTGTTATACTTGAACTATTTATTACGAGTTTACCTAGTAGTCGGAAAGCGAGAGCGAGGATCGAGGATCCGGTTACACGACATGCTACTCAAATCCAAAATTATCCCAGCCACCCATAATTAGTAAAAATAAGAAGACTTGATATGAAGTAAAACTTGTATTCTACAAGCATCCAGGAAGTACGAGGTTCGAATCCAGAACAGAAACAGGATCACAGACTAGGGATCCGGGAGCGGGTCCTAGTCCTGGTCCTGGTCGTGGTCATTAAATGTTACAGATAATGCGTATTTATACATTTAGGTTGAATAGGAAACAGCATCGAATTCTGTGACATTGACAGTTAAGACGACCAATAGGAAGTAACATTTGAAGTGACATTGATAGTCAGGACAACCAATAAGAGATAACATTGAAGTATTTGACTTTGACAGTTAAAACGACTATAATTTTGACCAGTAGAAATCGACCAATAGGATTCGATCAATAATTCTCTTAGGATATTAGATGAATATCCTAACAGTTTCCTATCGGTTGTCCTAACTATCAATGTCACAGACTTCAATATTGGTTCCTATGCGACCTAACTGTATAAATAATACACATTATCTGTAACGTTTTATGACCCGGACCCGGATCCTCAGTCCGGGATCCTTATCCTCTTCTGAACACGGACCGCGTACTTTCTGGATGTTTGTAGAATACATATCTCTACTTTATATATCATCAAGTCTTATTCTTTCACTCAATGGAGGAGGGTATGGGACAATCGGAATAGAGTTGTATGTCGTGTCGACGGATCCTCGATCCTCTCTCTCTCTTTCGTTTTCAAATCATATGAAATGACATGTTTATGTGCATGAGTAACACTAACAAAATGTCACTTTAATGCATCGTCGTTCAAAGAAGCATTTTCGGGAAAATAATTGTTAACGCCTTTAAATGTTATTAACTCACATCAGTTTAAAAACTATCACAAGAAATCAAAAAAAGAATTTCCAACAGCTTCTCTTATTGTAAGTAGCAGAAGTCGTGGATGCACCCTATTGGTGAGTCCTACTCATACGAGGCCGGACGAAACAGTTGCCCACTGCTTCCAGGTGTCTCTATCTCATGCTTGTCCAACATTGATCGATCGATCGATCAATCGATGATTTCAAAAAGAAGACTAACAATAATAAAAATAGACAGTAACAGGCAGTAACTACTACCAAAGACAAATGAGTGAGGTCACACAAAATCCCTAGATCAATCACGGTTAGGCATTAACCCACCGACTGCCTCGAAGAGCTATGTTTTGCGATATAGGAATAGGTTAGACGAAAGCTAGGGGCGGCTAAACCAAAAAATAGCAGAAATCCATGAAGTCATTGACGTGTGGAGTTAGCGATGTCGGTAATTGTCGACTACCTGGTTGGGATCCGCGAGATGTCCAGTGATCGATGGTTAGAGACCTTGAATAACATGGCTCAAAATCGTTCGCAATGGCGCCGGTGCATTTATTCTCTGTGTTCTCTCAATTTCTGATCTTCTGGATTCTTCAAAACCTCTAGTTTTGTTTTTCTAAACTTATCTCACTGAATCATACTTCTTGACTAAAATCTTTTAATCCTAACCTCTCCGATTACTTCTATAATACCTTTACTACCTCCTCTACTATTGGATTTGAATTGACAATTATATTTGTGTGCTGATGTGGTATGGCAACATGAACTGATGTACTTACGTACGCACGAAGTTCTACGTTGCATCTGACTGACTGACTGACTGTTATGCATTAACACCGTTGGATGCCAGCCTAGTGGTCCGATGGTTAGGCGTTCGCGCACAATACCGAAGGTCCCGGGTTCGAATGACTGCGATGTGCAGGAGTTGTGAATTCTCACTGCCACTGATGAGTCTCATACCAGGAAGAAACGGCCATCTTTCAGTGCTTCCAGATGTTTCTAATGGTGTGTGGTCTAACAATGATCGACTGATGATTTCAAATGTGCACAAAAAAAAACACAAACCTCCAAAACAGACATTTTTTCACTTACTCTGATGATGCAGCATATCGCAATATTTTAGTCTGTCTATGAATGATAATTGGTTTTGATAATTTTGTCAGAGCTGTTTGTAATTTCGATTTCATGGAATTTAAATTGACAGTATTATTATTGCTGTTCATCATCATTTTCTCATGTTGTTGTTGTCCATTTATTGATTTATGCAATAAATTCTTCTCACTATGATCATCAACATCAACATCAGCATCAGCGTCACCATCCGCAGCATGATTATGATTATTCACATTAGTATCATCGGCGTCAGCATCCGCATCCGCATCAGCGTCACCACCACTGACAATTTTACAATGTTTCAATGGATAATAAAGTTGAATTGGTTTGTTTGGTGGATTAGGATTTTTTGTATAATCAAAAAATGATTTGAAATCAGCTGTACTACTTAAATTAGTATTATCAGTAGTAGTAGTAGTATGACAATGATAAATTTTTGTCTCATCAATTGATTTCAATGGATAGGAGGTAGTGTGATGCGTGGTTTTCGTTTTATATGAATGTAATTTAGATGGAGGCATTAGTTTCTTTGTTGATTTGATTTTTCGGTCAATTAAGGAAAAATTCGCGCAATTTATTCAAAGATTTTAAATATATATATTCAATTTGTATTTGAACTAAAACGAAAAAAAATTATAAGGAAAAGAAAACCGATTATATTAAAGAAAAATCGATAATTTTTTTTGGTTCCGATTTGAACTGTTCTACTGTGGTGCGAGCTACTTATAAGTAGTAGTATATGACGTGAGTGTCAACGTAATGTCTGGCAGCAGAAGATGGGGGGAAGATCAAGAAAGGAAGAAGAGTGGGAACACAATGGAATTTGTACTAAATGCATGAATAGTGACAATGGATTGATGTTTTGCAACAGGAACAGTTCAGTTCGATATGATGAACTGATCTTTTGCAAATGAACAATTTACGATATGGTTTTCCGATTTTACACTGAGTAACTCTGTAATTTTCGTTAAATACAATCCGGTTGCCCTCACCTGTGTTCTCGTTCACTACACTACTATCATCCTACTATATCATACAAAATGCAATTATCTATTTATGAGTAGTAATCAACAATTAAACCTAACCCTTCGTTTCCAGTTCTATTCAATAGCAATTCATCCTGTTGATGTGTGCTTCCAATTAATTCTCGGCGGAATATGCCCTTTGGTCTTCTCCTTCTTCTTCTTTGACCTTGAAGGCTTGCCTCCACCTTGGGTGCTTCCTTTAATGTGTGCTTCGTACAGATTTCTTCTTTTACTCGAATCTCGTTTATGCCTTCACACAGTAGGTTCTTGTTGATGATGTCAAGCCAACAGATCTGCGGTAGTTTGTGTGTAGACAACTAATAATAAACACCTGTATCTTCTGAAAGATAACCTTAGTGGTTCTTCAAGTTTCCACCCTATACAGCAGAACTGTCTCAATGTTTGTTTTGAAAATTCTAACTTTCATGTTGTCTGACAGTGATTTTGAGTTCTACATGTTCTTCAGTTGAAGAAATGCCAACCTTGCCTTGCCAATCCATACCTTCACATCTGCTTTAGATCCACTGTGCTTATTAATGATGCTGCCCAGATATGTAAAGGTTTCCACATCTTCCAAAGTTTCTCCATCAAGTTATTTTTTCCTTTGTGCATATTGAGTTCTACTGCCACAGTGACTGCCACCACACTGGTCGTCTTCTCCTGCATGTAGGATAGAAGAGCTAGATCATTTGTGAAGTCTTGATCGTCCAGCTGTACCCAATCTGTCCACTGTATCCCATGCTTCCCCTCAGTTGACCATCAGGAGAAATAGTGAAAGTAAGCAACAACATTGTCTATTAACTAACTAACTACCATCTTAATTTTGATTACTGTTAGTCACTTCTGGTCATTTTTTCTCAACAATTATTTGGATGACAATGTAAATCAAAATTGTTAGGATATTCATTATCAATATGCTAAGATTATCGGTCAATTCCTATTGGTTAATTCCTACTGCTTAATTTTATGGTCGTCCTAACTATCAATGTCACGTGCTCCAATGTTGTTTCCCATTGGTTATCCTGACTATCAATGTCACTCCAAATGTTGCTTCCCATTGGTCATCTTCTTATTGTCAATGTCACAGACTTCTATGCTGTTTCCTATTCGACCAAAATGTATAAATACGCATTATCTGTAACGTTCTACAACCTGGATCCTTAGTCTGGGATCCTGATTCTCTTCTGCATTCAGACCTCGTACTTTCTGGATGTTTGTAATGGGGGTTGGGACAATCGGATTAGAGTCGCATGTTGTGTCACCGGATCCTCGATCCTCACTCTCATTTGCCGACTACGGCAAACTCATAATAATTCAAGCATATCAAATCGACGTGTCTACGCGCCTGCATAACAAAAAATACTTTTGAAAAAAAAACAAAGCTTTATTAATCATTTTCCTCTTCACAACTATCAATAAAATCACGTTGATTCGTGAATACATGAATATGCAATAGCATACTTAATAACATTGACAAGTTATTCTTAGAAAACTACTTTCTCATCACTCATTCAAACTAGATCAAAATTTCATGTGTGTGTGTGTGTGTGCATACATGCCTGCATATTGTCAAATCATTATTTTTTTGTTAAAAATTTCTCATTGGAATTACACAGCTTAATTGATTAAAAAAGTTAAAAAATGATAACTCTAAGAGACTTTGTTAATATATTTTATTAGCGTACATTCAATTTTCCAATTTCATTTTTAATCCACTAACTAACTGTGATTATTAAAAGAAAAAGAGATGAAAATTCTTTTAGTCTGCTGTAAAGATGACAGCCACTTCTTTTATTTTATTTTTTTTTTTCTAGATGAAACAAAATCAAGTTTGTCTGATTACTCATAGATTATGTGTTTCTGTAAAAAACATCAATTATTATTTTCATCCTTTGAAGTGCTCTAACTCCGCTTAGAGCTTCTCTCGTCTAGGGTTACTGTCGCTCCCACAAATCTAGATTAAAAGGAGGCGGAGGAGGAAAGTTGGTCATGTGTTTGGCGATCCCATTCGGCAGAAATCCAACTAGCTTGAAAAAAAAATCAAAACGCTAACCAGAAAAAAATAATTCACTGTTTGGCAGCCTATGCTCTCTATTTGAGGGTAATAAGTGTAAGTACATTTTGGAGAGTTAGTTTAGTATCGTTATAGTGTAGTGGTAGACTACACACAAAATTTCCTCGAAAATAATATGCATCGAAGCATCCTTGTCGCCTGAAAGATATTAGAATTGACAATTGAACACAAGAATTTCAACTCATCAAAACCATTAGAGTGTTTGGGATACTTTGAGGAGCGACAAGAGATGACATACTATATCTGGTTTTGGATAGGAAAATACATTTAGACTTGATCTATACGTACATTGATGAGATTTAATCATACTGACACAGTTTCAAACATGCAGAAAAAAGGAGTTGATATAAAAAAAATAAGTGATTGACAATCGACAGAATAATTTTTTTCTTTCAATGTTGATTAGAATGTCTATCATTTTAACTGAACAACCGTAGCAGGAATCTTAACCCTTAAAACTCATTGTAACAAGTTATCTTGTAATCTTTATAAAGTGTACGTTCATTTCCAAGTAATTTCATTTGCTTATTTTAAGATGAGGGCTTCTTTTAGTAATACAATATTTTGTAAAATTTTAGACGCGGTAGTTGAAACTAGTAGACAGGAAACCTTGAACTTAGGTTTCATGCTCATTGGCATTCGTGAGCAGCGTATATCCGTAATATTGCTCCCTGGTAGATTCGATCCCACGTCATCCAGAGTTAAAGTAAGAGACGTTACTACTGAGCAATTCGATCCACCACTGACCTCCTGTAGGACTGAGATATGTTTACAGTTAATTAACCACTCGGTAGTGACTTATGTGTCAAGTCATACTTAGTGCAAATCAAATTCTATCGATCAAGTATCAGGATGGTGCAATGCTGAGATATAGAAATTGGTGGTTGGAGGTAGTTGACAGGAACCTTTGAAACTAAGTGACTTGGGATCGGACCCATAGGGGGCATCAGTTCACTCAAGATTAAAAGTACGCCTCGCTGACGAGCACCAAACAGTAGGAAAGCTGTGTCTAGAATTTCCTGTCAACTACTACCTTCAACCACTATCTTGCATTTTATCATGGTGTGCACAATTTTGAGACATCCAGATTGGCAGCCACACCTTAAACTAAGTGATAAATCAATCGTAAAATCTTAATAGTGTTTTCTTTCAGTAAAATTATTTATCAAACAGCCGATAGCTAACATTATGAATTTATGTGCATTTTCATGATTAACTAATCAGAAATTTTAAATTCATCAGAAAATACGAAACATGACGACGGTTTAAATTTTTTTTCTAGTTTTTACTGTGAAAGACAGTAATTGACAAGTTTCTTTTGGTATATATATATATATATATATATATATATATATATATATATATATGTATATCTTGACCGAATCAGCCTGAAATCTGTCATAGGCATTTTTAAAAATCAGATTTGGAAACTAGCAAACACTAGGGACAGTCCTGCCTGTCTATGGATTATCCTGCTAACCAATTTTTCAACTACGTTGAAGTGGATAGTTAACTGAAGTATGAAGCGAAACATAAATTTATCATTGTCATTGTGGAGATTGTTGAGTGTCATTATTGAACTGATCAATGTTAGACAACCATTGTAAACCTAGCTGCATTCAATGACCATTTTGTCCTAGTACGGGATTCATCAACAACGGTGGCCTAATATTGAAATAAAATTCAACAATCCTCACAACCCTCTACTGATAACTATCAGGTGTTCACTAGAAACTAGGTTCGTGAAGGAATCTTCGGAATCTAGTATAAGAAACAGTGAACAGTAGAGTTTAAATAATATCGAGTGTTAGCCAGCTTATCTATCATAAGCAATATATACAAGGTTGTGTAAGTTAATAGAGTGATGAAAGTTAGATGTGAACACTATTGGATGCTGACTCAGTGGTCTAGATAGAGTTTCAGCATTGATCAGTGAACGGACTATACCACAGAAAATCAGATCGATTAGTCAGTCAGTCAGTCAGATGCAACGTAGAACTTTGTACATAAGTACATCAGTTCATGTTGCCATACCACATCAGCACAGAGAAGTAATCGTCAATTCAAATCCAATTGTAGAAGAGGTAGTAAGGGAATTAGAAATAATCGGAGAGGTTAGGATTAGAAGATATTATTCAAGAAGTATGATTCAGTGAGATAAGTTTAGAGAGTCGAAACTAGAGGTGTTGAAGAATCCAAAAAGATTAGCATTTGAGAGAACACAGAGAATAAATGCACCGGCGCCATTGCGAACGATTTTGAGCCATGTCATTCAAGGTCTCTAACCATCGATTATTATCATCTCGCGGACCCCAACCAGGTAGTCGACAATTACCAACATGGCTAAGTCCACTAGTCAATGACTTCATGGATTTCTGCCATGTTTTGGTTTGGCCGCCTCTAACTTTCTTCCAACCTATTC